GTTTAACAGAGAGATTTTTTTCAACACATTTCTAAACATAATAGTTTAATAATTCATTTCTAATAATCAATTTATTTTATGTTTGCCTTTATGACAGTGAATAATATTTTACTAGATATTTTTTAAGACATTTCTACATGGCTTAAAGTGACATTTACCTTAAAATGGTTTTCAAAATTTTTTAAAGCTCCTTTTATTCTAGCCGAAATAAAACAAATAAGACTTACTCCAGAAGAAAAGATATTATCAGACACACTGGGAAAATTTCCTTGCTCTGTTGAACATCATTTGGGAAAATATTTAAAAAAAGAACAAAAACTTCAAAGGTGGGCTAATAATTCTGACTTCAACTGTATATGTATAGTATATAGTATACATTAAATTATAGCAATGGGATATTTTAATAATAATAGAATATTTTATAATTGCGTTAAAAGATAATGGTTAAATTTAGCAATTTAAACTCACTTTATTAGTAGTCTATAAATTAAACCTCAATTTAACCTTTTATTCAAAAACATATATCTGTTAATGATGTATAAACATTTGAAGTCAAAATTATTAGCCCTAATGTGAATTTCTTTTTCAAATATTTCCCAAATGATGTTCAACAGAGCAAGTAATTTCTCACAGTATTTTTTATTATGTTTTTTGTTTTTACTGAGAAACTCTTATTTGTTTTATTTGACCTAGAATAAAAGCAGTTTTTTTTTTTATATTTTCAAAGCAATTTTAAGGTCAACATTATTAGCCCTTAAGCAATATTTATTTTCCAAAGTCTACTGAGCAAACCATCCTTATACATGGACTTGCCTAAATATCCTAACTTGTATAACTAAACCGATTGCTACAAACCATTTAAGTTAAAAAACTCATTACCTTCGTCACTGAGTTCAAAGCTCTTTTTTTTAAATGAGTAGAATTAATTTTCAGTAAATTTTAAGTTAACTACACTCATTTCATTTGATAAAGCTGACTGTTGGGTTTCACAGTATATATATATATATATATATATATATATATCAATGTTAGTGTTTTTTTGATGTAGTAAATCCAGCCTCATAGAGAATAGAAAATTTTCACTTCTGCAAACATTGCAATTTATTTATTTGTCATTGAGATGCACCACTGGTAGATGTGAGGCTGACGGACTTACCACTTATTTTAGCATATTTAATTACAGTAATACAAGTATTTATGTTGAAGGCTATTTAAAAAACCTTGCACGTTCAGACTGCTAGTCTTATCTGTTCATGGCTGGGCCGTTTTAAAATCCTGAACTGAACTGATTCCTTTCTTTACGTTCCCTGCAGGGTTAAACCAGTGCCCACCATCTAATCTCACAGAGCCAGATCTGCTTACCATAAACGACACCCGGAGCTAAAGAAATGAGGTCAGTTTGAGGTCACTGATGGAAAGTACAACTTCATACCAGGACAATGATCGAAATAATAGTGCATCTCAAATTAAAATGGTTAGAATATGTATTACATGAATATTGTTTATGCATGGCAGTCCAGTGTTTGAAGATATATGCTGTGTTCACACTTCTAATTTAGTTATCCTGGTTTTTTTGGCCCATGCAGTCGAAAAAACAAAAAAACAAAAAAAAAAAAACAGACAAAATAAGAAGAAATGAATGTTTTTTTAGGCCAAATCCCAATTCTATGTTTGTTCCCCTTCCCCTTGGGCCTTGAAACAGAGTGTGAAGGGGAAGGGCTTCATCGTGATCTCTGGTGACTGCTGTAAATATTACAGTTGCGTTATATTTTTGGTATTTAAATTCAGGAAACCACCGAAGGCAATGGTATCATGTTACCATAACAATCTAATGTGGCAATAAGCTAGTAACCGTACTGTGTATTTACACCGTGGTCATATTCATCTATGTAAACACACAAAAGCAACATTAACATTATACTAGACACTGTAAAAATCCATCCCCAGCCACTAGACTTTTCTGACAGGGCATTCGAGTGTCATCGTTCAGGTCATCAAGTGACAGAATGTTGTAGGACTACTATACAGGAGTTATTATTAGGGGTTATAGATAGCGAAATTTTTTTGTTTTAGCTTTTTTTATGACAGTAAAACATGAACGCGATTATGAATGTATTAAACATGCTTGTTTGTTGTAAAAATTCGTAATAATGACAAAAAATACTCATTTGTGGATCTCCTTACTTACCGGGTGCAGCTGTGGCTGGTGTATTCTGGGAAATTTTCTTACCCCTTTCGAGTGTGGTCCTGAAAAATCTTCATTTCGAGAGGTATCTAACCCTTCTCCTTAGCCATACCCCTTCACGTGAACGCACAAAACGTAAGGGAAAGGGCTAAGGCACAGGTGTCAAACTCAGTTCCAAAAGGGCCGCAGTTCTGCACAGTTTAGTTCCAACCCTATTTAAACACACCTGATCAAACTAATTGAGTCCTTCAGGCTTGTTTGAAACCTACAGGTAAGTATGTTGGAGCAGGGTTGGAACTAAACTTTGCAGGGCTTCGGCCCTCCAGGAATTGAGTTTGACACCCCTGGGCTAAGGGGTAGAATTGGGATTGGGCCGTAGTCTTGGTTGACTTCACACTGTCATTTTTAAGATTAAATCCAAATCTGCTTGAGCTTCCTGTCCTTTTAAAATTCATGTTTTTGGATAGTTTAGAGGTCTGAATTAAACCACAATTTTGTTTTGCACTGTTTGAGCAATCATGCTGGAATATGTTTTTAACCACATCTCAAAGTGGTTGAATGTGAACAAGCTCAAAAAGTTTCACACCCTATTTGTACCTGCACTTAGCAATGTCCACTTGTGATCGGATCGACGACTACGCATCTTAACACCAGGTGTGAACAGGGCTTAATACACTACCTGACAAAAGTTTTGTCGTCTATCCCAGTTGTAAGAGCAACAAATAATAACTTGACTTCTAGTTGATCATTTGGAAAAGTGTCAGAAGGTCCATTTTTCAGATTAATCATCTGTCGAACTGCGTCCCAATCATCACAAATACTGCAGAAGACCTACTGGACTCAAGTTTCTCATAGAAATCAGTCAATTTTGGTGAAGGAAAAATCATGGTTGGATAGCGCTCTTTCTCATAGTTTGAGGATCAACATTAAAGTTCCTGAAAGCAAAGAGGGTCAAGGTGCTCCAGGATTGGCCAGCCCAGTCACCAGACATGAACATTATTGAGCATGTCTGCGGTAAGATGAAAGAGGAGGCATTGAAGATGAATCCAAAGAATCTTGATGAGCTCTGGGAGTCCTGCAAGAAAGCTTTTTTTGCCATTCCAGGGGCCGCGTGTACGAAGACTTGCATTGAATTCATACTAAAACATTGCGTATGCACAAAGCTGTAAATGTGCGTACGCAGGAAAAAATGCAGATGTATGAAAAAATTCAGATGTATAAAAAAATTCAGATGTATGAAACGTACGTGGAATCCCACGCATAGTCTCTTTGTACATCCAGCTGGAAACTGAGCACAAGTGCACAAGCGCAAACCCCGTCCCTGCCTCCTCCCCCTAATAAATATGGTAATGACTCCACTTTGGCAAAACCAAACGAAAAAGCAATGGCAAACGCAAGCAAAAAGAGAAACTTTGAACAGAATGCGAATTAGAGGTGCTCCTTTCAGAGGTAGACCGGAGAAAAACAGTGCTATTTGCTGGTTTGTCCTCCGGAATCAATAACAAAATAAAATAAAATAGTGGGAGAGTTTAGCTGACGCAGTTAACACAGTTGGGTCTGAACATCGCACTGTGAGAGAATTAAAAAAGAAATGGTCCGATCTAAAGGTGTAAAATTTTGTAGTGTCCATTAAGGCTAAGTGCAAATAGCACACCTCGTTGGAATGAGCTAGTTGAGTGATTCCCGCCCATCACCGTATGATTGACAGAAGCAACATAACTAAAGAGAGCAGCAAACAGCAGCATGAGTGGCGTAGCTTGTAAAGCGCATGGCAACATGTTTTGACACATTCAATCATGAACTCAGTTCGAATCCAGCATCTGATGAACTCATTCTTCTTTTTTTGCCCCGCTACATATCAGATTTTGCCTACTCTTCATCTCGAGGAAGACAAGTAGGAATCATTAATAAGTGTGTGTATTATGTTAAGCGCATTTGAGCATCACATATTATTTGCACATTTATTGAATGGAAATGTTTCTGATACACGTATGCAAATTCATCTTCAGATGGCACCTTTATAGCAATGTGCGTACAGTTAATCGCTCGGATTAGATTGGGAAAACCGGCGATCGCTGCAAATTGCCCTTTCATGTTTGGCTTGTCAACTGCCTGGTATGGAAAACTTATATACCAGACATGCAGATGATCCCGTCCCATACAGCTGCCATTGCCCGGCTCAAACATACTTTGTAGTGTGCAATTTAACATAATTGCCTCTGGGAGTCGCCAATGGAAATAAAACAAACACAGACAAGAAATGCACGCACGCCAGGCATGAAGTTGGCGTGGACCAACGCACATTCTCACGTTTATTTCATCATTAGTAAATCCAAACTGAAATCTGCGTACGTACAAAGTTTTTGTGCCACAGCAGAAATGAACCGCCAATTTACCCAGCATATGTTTTGCGCAGCAGATACCCTTCCAGCTGCAACCCATCTCTGGGAAACACCCATAAACACTTATTCACACTCACACGCTACAGACAATTTAGCCTACCCAATTCACCTGTACCGCATGTGTTTAGACTGTCGGGGAAACCGGAACACGTGGAGATAACCCACTCAAACGCAGGGAGAACATGCAAACTCCACACAGAAACGCTAACTGGCCCAGCCAAGGCTAGAACCAGCGACCTTTTTGCTGTGAGGCTACAGCACTACCTACTGCACCACTGTGTCGCCAAACTTATTATTTGTTGTTCTTAAAACTTGAATAGGCGACAAGACTTTTATCAGATAGTGTAGTGTAAATGAAACAAACCTGCCAAATGTGAACACACCATAACTTGGTCAATAACAAGACTGCAAAATATTATAAAAGACTTCTTTATTTCTAATCATCATGAAGAACTTTCAACAAAATGATCTGTTTCCCGTTCCATGTGTGGTACAGGACTATAATCTGTAATAATTCCAAGCACAGGCAGTAGTTGGTATAAAAACTAACATAAGTCGAGGTTTCTAAAAAACAGTTTAGATGCATTACAAACTATCCAGAAATTAGCAGAAGAAATGACAAATAAAAAATACTTAACAATAAAAGATGGCCTTGACAAATGCAACATGTAATACAACTCGTACAACTTAGAAAAGTTTACTTATTTTAGACTCACAAAAGGACACATACATTGTATGTGTTAAATTATTATTCTTTTTGATGTTGTTGTAAAGACATACAAATGCTAACTACATCATTCACATATTCAGCAGTCTGTTTAAATACCTTATTTTTCTACAAAAGTGAATTTACAATGTTTTTAAAGTACAAAGTGCAAAGACTATGGTTTCCGTCGTCGTTTTGGTGGGGTCGGGATCTGCAGGACAGGAGCGGGAATAATCCTAGCGCCCACTTTAGCCTTGTTTCTTTGACAGGTTCTGTAAATAGTCAGATGATGAAAATTAAATCTGAGAATGAGCAAATGTTTGTCATCAGTTATAAATAAGGTGATCAGATGTGATTTGTTTTAGTGTTTCTGCTTATTATATAAAACAATTATGTTTTGTTTTGTACTTAAGGTTTCCCTAATTTTTTTTAAAAATAGATCCATCCCAAGCAGCGTTAGTTTTAATCACTTGCTACTACTTGTTTTATTTTTAAGTCCACTTGTTAAAGGTTTGAAATATTGCATTAACTAAATTTATAGGGTTGCGTTGAAATATTTTACTCTACCAAATATATACTCTACCAATGAACTGCTCTAGGGTGATTCATTTATTCATTTTACTACTGCTTAGACTCTGATTTATCAGAGGTTGCCACAGCAGAGTGAACCGCCAACTACTTCAGCATATGTTTATGCATCGGGTGCCTGACCTTCTTGCTGTGACAGTGCTAACCACTGAGCCACCATGCCGCCGTCTCTAGGGTGATATAACAGTGTAATCATACTTCTGTGACGTGTAGGAGCTCTAGAGGAGAGACTGTGTATGTGCCCTTTTTTGTTTCTATGAGATTCAAGATGGGTTTTTATTATAACAGAATCTTTAAAATGAAAGAAGAAACTGTGTATAATGCATAGAGTAATGTAAAATGTGTACTGGCCATTGGGCTAGCTTTGGGCTACTTTTGACTGGCCATTGGGCTTGTTTAGACTGGCCTTTGGGTTAGATTTGAATGGTAATTGTGAACTAGTTTTGGGCTGATTTTGACCGGCCATTTGGGCTAGTTTTATCTGGCCATTGGGCTATTTTTATTCTAGTTTTAACTGGCCACTGGGCTATCTTTGGTGTAGTTTTGACTGGTCATTGGGTTAGATTTGAATGGTAATTGTGGACTAGTTTTGAGCTAGTTTTATCTTGCCATTGAGCTAATTTTGACTAGCCATTTGGGCTAGTTTTGGGTTGGTTTTTTGACTATGTGGCTTGTTTTGACTGACCTTTTTGGGGTAGTTTTGGGCTATTTTTTCGGGCCATTAGGCAAGTTTGACTAGCCATATTGGGTAGTTTTTGGCTAATTTTGACTAGCCATTTGGCTAGTTTTGACTGGCCATTGGGTTAGATTTGAATGGTAATTAAGAACTAGTTTTGGGCTGATTTTGATCGTTCATTTGGGCTAGTTTTATCTGGCCATTGGGCTAATTTTAGGCTAGTTTTAACTGGCCATTGGGCTACTTTTGACTGACCTTTTGGGCTAGTTTTGGCCTAGTTTTATCTGGTTATTTAGCAAGTTTGACTAGCCATTTTGGCTAGTTTTGGGATAATTTTGACTGGCCATTGGGCTAATTTTGTGCTAGTTTTGACTGGCCATTGGAATAGATTTGACTGGTAATTGTGGGCTAGTTTTGAGCTAATTATAACTGTCTATTTGTGGTAGTTTTGACCCGCCATTGGGCAAGTTATAACTGTCCATTTCGTCTAGTTTTAACTGACTTTGTTGGCTAGATTTGGTCAAGTTTTTTGGCCATTGTTTTATCTGTCCATCACCAGTTTTGACTGGACATTAGGTTAGGTTAGACTGGTAATTGTGGGCTAGTTTTAGGCTAGTTTTGACTGCCCATTTGGGCTAGTTTTATCTAGCCATTTGGCTATTTTTTTTACTGACAGCCGATCTAATTTTGGGCTAGTTTTGATGCAAAAACATTGATTCTAACTGTTTCTTTCCACTCTGAAAAATCTGGTCACCCTAATTATAAATGCAACAGTATTCTTGTATATTAGTAATTTCAGTCTACTGCTCAGTAAAAGAGAAAGCTGGAATGCATGTTGTGAATGTTAACAGCCACTGACATTAACTCACCAGTTTACTAGATGTTGTGCCATCACCTGTTTTTGCCCCTGAGGAAAAAGCAATGAGAACGTTTTACAAGCCTGTTCTTCATTACATGACAGCAATACAGCTTGTTTCTGAGAAAGTTATTAAACAAACGCAAGTGTTCATGGTTATTAAAACGACCACACAGTCTTTGAACAAGACTAAACCAAGAACACTACAGTTAATACAATCAGTATCTTTCTCTGTATTTTTAATAAAAAAAAAAATAGATGAAACACTTGCACCCTCTTCAACATTAGTCTATTTTGGTTGAATCCACTTACGGTTGTATCAGTAATGGATTTGTAAAGAGCCAAGATTTCCTTTAACAAGTAAAAGGTGAGTAAATGAGAACAGAATTTTCAGTTTTTGGTGATCACTTTAAGTCTAGTGTGTAAATGCCTTGATTTCTTGCTCGTACATCTCAGGAAACAGTGAGACTCACCCTCTTCCTTAGTGACACCCAGACAGCCCATCAGTTCCTGCAGAGACAGGGCTTTATCGTTGCTGATGTCGCAGTACTCCACAAACTTCTTTACGCACTTCTTGGGCTTGGATTTCTTGCGGAGTAAACGCTTGAATGGTTTGATTTCTTTCTTTCCGATATCCCCACTGGAATTCTTGTCAAGCTGGCTGAAATACCAGTGAACAACTCGCTCTTCCAGAGTGTGGCTGGGGTCTGGCTCCAACATCCTGGGGAGGAATTCACAATAGTTTGATCATGTTTTCAATGCACAGGATTTTAGTCAAACTTGTCATGCATTAAAAGAACACTTTGTTTTGTAAATATACTCATTTTACAACTCCCTTAGAGTTACAGTTGAGTTTTACAATTTTTTTAATCAATTGAGCTGATTTCTGGATCTGACGAGAGCACTTTTACCTTAGCTTAGCATAAATCATTGGATAAGACTAGACCATTAACATCTCGTTCCAAAATTTTAAGAGAATATAGTTCCTAGTCATGTTGGCCTAGAAAATATCAACTTTTTATATTCCTTCAGTATTATTAAATGATAAAACTACAGAAGAGTCAAGCTTTAAATACAAATCAAAACTCTTTTTTTTTTTTTTTTTTTTTTTTTTGAGTGAGATGCTAATAGTCTAATCCGGTTCGATAATCCATGCTAAGCTAAGCTAAAACTGCTTCCGTCAAACCCAGAGATCAGGGGCCTCATGTACGAAGACTTGCGTTAAAATCATACTAAAACATTGCGTACACTCAAAGCTGTAAATGTGTGTACGCAAAAAATTCAGATGTATAAAACACTGCGTACACCGAATCCCACGCATATTCTCTTTGTACATCGGAATTAACGTAAAACTGAGCGCACGTGCATGAGCCGCAAAACCCCTCCCTGCCTCCTCCCCCATATGAATATGGTAATGACTCCACTTTGGCAAAACCAAACGAAAAAGCATTGGCAAAAGCTAGCAAAAAGAGAAACTTTGAACAGAATGTGAATTGGAGGTGCTCCTTTCAGAGGTAGACCGGAGAAAAATGGTGTTATTTGCAAGTTTGTCCTTTGGAATAAATAACAAAAGAAAAAAAATAGAGTGGGAAAGTTTAGCTGACGCGGTTAACACAGTTGGGTCTGAACATTGCACTGAGAGTGAATTAAAAAAGAAATGGTCCGGTCTAAAGGTGTAAAATTTTGTAGTGTATAGCAGTGTGAAAGCTTGTAAAGCGAATGGCAACATGTTTTAACACCTTCAATCATGAACTCAGTTTGAATCCAGCGTCTGATGAACTCATTCTTCTTTTTTTCCTCCACAACAAATCAAATTTTGCCTACTCTACATCCCGAGGAAGACAAGTAGGAATCATTAATAAGTGTGTGAATTATGTTAAGCGCATTTGATCATCACATATTATTTGCACATTTATTGAATGGAAATGTTTCTAATTTTCGTATGGAAATTCATCTTCAGATGGCGCCTTTATAGCAATGTGCGTGCAGTCGATTGCTCCGATTAGATTGGGAAAACCGGCGATCGCTGCTAATTGCGCTTTCATGTTTGGTTTGTCAACTGCATTGTATTGAAACCGTATGTAACTACTAGACATTAATATGTTAGTTTTAACATATTTGTTTCTGTTTAACTCTAGAGTTGTAAAACGAGCCTATTACCAAAAAAAGTTTTACTTTAACCCCCTGGGGTCAGTAAACGTACAAAGAAAAGTGCGCCATGAAATAAGCTTAAAATACATTTTTGGTCATATTGATAAGGCAAACACAGATTTGAAAACTGTAAAGGATTTATTTTTATTTGTACATATTCATAATCAGTGTTGGGGAGGTTACTTTGGAAATGTAATAGATTACAGATTACAAATTACTCTATTTAATATGTAATAAGTAATGTACCCTTATGAAAGTAAAGTATATCTGATTACCTTTTGATTACTTTTAAGTTTCTAATAGATATTTCCAACTAAATCATTTTCAAGCATTTATACTAAGCAGGTGTGACCTTACAGTAGCTCTGTTTACGGTTAGAATTCAAAATCTTTCATCACTTCAATTAAGATTATATGAATTTAGTTTTAAAGTACAGCCACCACAAAACCAGACCTTATAACAAAATATGTTTACTGTTGTTACAAAATCAAAATTTGAGTTACTTGTGCAGGGTGATTTTTGTGGCATTTGCAAAAAAAAAAAAAAAACATCTAAGCTATTTTTGCTATTAATTTTTTAAATCGAAGCCACTTAAACACAAGTCTATTATATCTCAATGAACGATATGAGGCATAATTGTTCAGTTCAGTTATTTACTGTAAATAATATGCTGTACTAACAGAAACAAATTATAGAAAATAACAGCAAAAACAAAAAATCCAATAAAACCAGGTGTTACACATTTAAAATACTATAGTAATTTAGAGTAAAGCGCTATGTTTTTGTGAAATTAGTAAAAGAGACAGAGAGTGCTTTCTCTTCTGTCAACATGACGCATCGGAAAAAAACAGCTGAATATTTCATTATGTAGCCCTTTGTCCTCTCAGGTGTGAATCACTGCATCAGTAATGTTAGTTCATGCCTCCTCACAAATGAGCCATTGAGCTTTTCAGTGTCTTAGAAAGTGGAAATCAATATACTGTTCTGTAAGCAAGTAAACAAGATGATTTTCACATCATTTTGAACCAAAGACTCTAAGCTACAAGACCTAATTCCGAAAAGGTCATTCATTCATTCATTTCTCTTCGGCCTAGTCCCTTATTTTTCAGGGGTGGCCACAATGGAATGAACCGCCGAATGTTTCATCATATGTTCTATGCAGTGGATGCCCTTTCAGTCACAACCCAGTACTGGGAAATACCCATACACTCATACACTACGGCCAATTTAGTTTATTCAATTCGCCTATACAGCACATGTCTTTGTACTGTGAGGGAAACCAGAGCACCCAGAGGAAACCCACACCAACATGGGAAGAACATGCAAACTCCACACAGAAATGCCAACTGGTCCAGATGAGACTCAATCCAGCAACTTTCTTCCTGTGAGGTAGCAGTGCTAAAACATAAATGTTGCTAACATATTGTTTTGCTGTTTACAGTGATATTTGACTTTTGCCATTTAAATGTTTATAAGCATCTAAAAAGTACATATCTTAACTTCTCCAGGCCCTCCAAAACACCCCCAGACCCCGGAGGGTGAATCTTTAGTTTTAGCTTTCTTTTTAGAGCGGCCTGAATCAGTGAGTTCAGTCAGTCAGTTGGTCATCTTATGATCTAAGAAAATATTTTTACACCACACAGGGTTGGTTAAATTCATGAACTGGTCCGTTACATGTGCAATAGTCAGTTGTCAGTTTGTTGTTTACCTCCCGCCAGCTGCTGGGTCAGTTACTGCATGGACCATGTCTGTGGATAATGCGTCCAACACACTGGTCAGAAATTCAGTTTTTTTCTCTCCTGGACATCCTGAAAAAGAGGAATAAAAGAGTTCAAGTAGCTGCGTTTAAGTATGGATTAACATGGTTCTTCAGGCATTTTAGTTTAATTAATCCTTCAAATGGATTCTTGTTACAAGAAGGGGATGGTTTATTCAGCACTCATCAGCATCTTAAATTCTTGAAAGTTTAGATTAAAAAAAAAACAAACATATGTACATTTATAAAACTGTGTTGTATTATATCATCTTTGCATGAAATTACAAAAAAATGGAATTATATGTTAATTTAATGGGATTATAGTATTTTTTTACTATCACAAACAAGTGCTATTTTAAATAAATGTATTTGATTAATTTGAATTCCTAATAATTAAATAATCCACAAAAATCTATTATTATTATTATTATTACTACAAATATTATTAATAATGTTATTATTATTCATTCATTCATGTGGGCGAAGCAGTGGCGCAGTAGGTTGTGCTGTCGCCTCACAGCAAGAAGGTCGCTGGGTCGCTGGTTCGAGCCTCGACTCAGTTGGCGTTTCTGTGTGGAGTTTGCATGTTCTCCCTACGTTCGCATGGGTTTCCTCCGGGTGCTCCGGTTTCCCCCACAGTCCAAAGACATGCGGTACAGGTGAATAGGGTAGGCTAAATTGTCCGTAATGTATGAGTGTGTGTTAGGATGTTTCCCAGAGATGAGTTGCGGCTGGAAGGGCATCCGCTGTGTAAAAACCTGCTGGATAAGTTGGCGGTTTATTTTGCTGTGGCGACCCCAGATTAATAAAGGGACTAAGCTGACAAGAAAATGAATGAATGAATTCATTCATTCTTTTTCTTTTCGGATTAGTCCCTTTATTAATTTGGGGTCGCCACAGCAGAATGAACCAACTTATCCAGCACATTTTTACACAGCTCATGCCCTTCCAGCCGCAACCCATCTCTGGGAAAATTATTATTATTATTATTATTATTATTATTATTGTCTGTGTGTGTGTGGTACATGGTAAATGCATGCTTCGCCATAGGTGGCCCAATAAACGCTGGGATATGTAAAGCTGACAGACGTTTTTCTGTTTTTACACCAACAGCACTTAAAGATTGCTGAGAGCCGGAGAGTTAAACTATGTTATTGCTTGAGAGATTCTTCTCCACCCTGTCGTAAAATGCGACCTCCGTTATCCTGTCTGAGGAACATTATGACAGCTGCCAATCAAGCACAAGTCCTGTGCTTTACGCTCTCAGACTGAAGTGTGCGGAAACTAAAACCTACAAAACCAGTCAAAAACATGTCCAGTTCAGAATTTACCACTAAAATTGACACTGCATGATGATTTTTGGGTTATGATATCATTCATTCATATGATATCATTCATTCACTCCTATTTATCAGAGGTCACCACAGCTGAATGAACCGCAAACTATTCCAGCATGTTTCACGCAGCGGATGCCCATCCAGCAGCAACCCGGTACTGGGAAACACCCATACACTCTAACATTCACACACACACAAACACACACACACAAACACACATACACACACACGCTCATACATTACAGCCAATTCAGTTTATTCAATTCTCCAATAGCGCATGTCTTTTGATTGTGGGTAAAACTGGAGCACCCGGAGGAAACCCTTGTGAGCACAGGCAGAACATGCAAACTGACACAGAACTGCCAACTGACCCAGCTGGGAATCAGCGAACCAGAAACCTTCTTGGTGTCAGGCGACAGTGCTAACCACTGAGCCACCGTGTCGCCTATTTTCTTTTATACAACAGTTCTGTCTAATTCTCGAATCTGATTGTCTGATACCCGTGATATATTTATGTAATATCAGCACCCGTACAGCCTCTTTCCCTTTGTGTATTACTCCGCCCACATACAGCCATAGATATATACACTAGATATCGCATAGGGGCCCTGAGCATGCGTCAGTAGCGCCGCCACATTGGTACAGTGCTCCCAGGACAAATGTCATTCAACCGCACTAGTCAAGACAGTGTTATTACGTGAAGATGCGGGACTTTAGCGCTGTCTACGGGTGTAGTAATGAGCAAACAAAGAAAACAAAGCACAAAGGCAGAACATTTCATAGATAAGATTAAGATTTTTTCTGTTTTTGTATGTTCTGAACTTTTGTGCTAATCAGGTAACGTTATTGAGGATAACAGTCCACATTCTATGCATTCACCATAAGGCAAAGCAGCTCCAACTCGCACTAAACACTCGGCTTATGCTAGTTTTGTTGAATAAAATCAACAAACAATGCAAAAGAAATATGACAACGAGATGCTGCGCTGCCAGAAACTTGTATTATTGTCGGCTAACGTTAGTCAAAGAGTCGTTCGGGGGATTTATTCACTAATGAATTGCTCCCTCCGTCAGTATGAGAAGTGAAAGCAGGAGAGGAGGTGTGTTTCAGGACATGATTAGATCAAATTTAACAGAGAAGGTGGATAGTACATTTCTGTACACACAAACACAAGCTTTTTGTCAGGAATGCCCGTGCGATCACTGATCCATCAATGTAGAAAAGTGATGTAAAATTATAATTTTCGTAATTAGAAAAAAAAAAATTACATACTAACATCCAGGAAAACTCCCGATCATAGATATATGTGTATATCTCTGGCTTTGGATGGCCACAGTCCTCCACTGTACCTTGGTCCCGCATTCATTTCAAAGGAGCGCTACCCTGTAGCAAGATGGCAGCGCTATTGACGCATTCCGTCCAATAGACAACAATAGGCCAGGCGACATCTAGTGTATATATCTATGACATACAGCCAGCAAAAAGCAGACACTACAGATCTAAAGTTTAAAAGATGCTTGCTCAGCTGTTTAACTGTCAGCTTATGATTTGAATCCAACGCGGAAGAAAGTAGTTCCTCATACAAAAGGATTTTTGAGACTCCAAGTTTGATTTTGTTTTTATATTCACAATTATGCCGTCAAACTGTTTTATAAACGCAATATCACACGAGTAGCAGTGCGATATGGCTGTATATCAGCACTAAGGCATGACACAACCCATGCCTCCCACCAGTGCCGTTATACAGCCATATCGCAACGCTACTCGTGTGATATTGCTCATTCATAACACAAGCAATCCAAAGTCCATTATTTTGAAAGAAAACAATCTTTCAAAAGACGACACATTGTACTTCTCATGATGTTGTTATTGAACATCTAGACTCCACTAAACTTCATGCCATATATTTATTGAAAAACTGAGAAGAATGCAGGAGCTCGTATGAACAGCTGGGACGGATATTTTATTGTGTCTGGAGAAGAAACTCGCGCAGATCTTCAACACAACACACACCAGCATTCTGCGCTCATCTTGTAAACCTGCTCACGCTTTTAAATGTCATTTTTTCACTCTTGTGTGAGGACATCTGTTTACTTTCTCACACACACACACACACACACACACACACACACACACACACACACACCTGCTCACAAGGACTTTCACATGCTTTAGCTCTTACAGCGGAGAATCTGTTGCCTCTGGGCCTGCCCATAAACAACACAGCATGTGAAGACTCTTCCTTGCAAACACACAGACTTTCCCTTTCTTTTGCATGCTTTATGTTGGACAGACAGATGAATTTGAGGAAAGTGTAGGAGTGTGTTAAACTTTCTTGGGCATTTGATGTGCATCAAAAAGTGCAATTAACTAATACATACGCACATACTACTGACAAATTTGCTGCTTTATAGTTGAATCCGCTTTGTTCATAAATGACATTTCACACATTTAGTTCTGCAAATGAACTTATAACATGTCAAATTTTAAAAAAAGGGGTATTTCTTAATCTAAAAGTACATTTATATAAATCTTAATTCAAATTCAAATAAATATATAATTGATAGTTTTTCAGTTGCAAATAACTTTTATGTTGGAAACTAATTTCTACACTGTAAAAAATCCTGGTTGCCTTAAATTTTTAAGCTGAATCAAATTAACCTTATGAGTCCATTGAACTTATATTATGTTAAACTGACTTATAAAACCCTGCGTTACTTGCGTTAAAATTAAGTTAGCACATGATTAACTTAGTTTAATAGGTTACAATGACCTAAAAACAAATGCTGTCAGGATTAATTGATTAATTAAAGGAGTTGCTGCTGATTTTTGGGTTGCACATCCATGATGTGAATCTCCCGTCCCACCACATCCTAAAGGTGCCCTATTGGATTAAGATCTGGTGATTGTGGAGGCCGTTTGAGTACAGTGAACTCATTTTCATGTTCAAGAAACCAGTCTCAGATGATTCGCACTTTATGACATGGCGTGTTGTCCTGCTGGAAGTAGCCATCAGAAGATGGGTACACTGTGGTCATAAAGGGATGGACATGGTCAGCAACAATACTCAGGTAGACTGTGGCGTTGACTCGATGCTCAATTGGTACTAATGGGCACAAAGTGTGCCAATAAAATATCCACACCATTACACCACCACCACCAGCCCGAACCTTTGATATGAGGCAGTATGGATCCATGCTTTCATGATGTTGATGCCAAATTATCACCCTACCATCCGCATGTGGCAGCAGAAATTGAGACTCATCAGACCAGGCAACGTTTTTCCAATTTCCTAATGTCCAATTTTGGTGAGCCTGTGCAAATTATAGCCTCAGTTTCCTGTTCTTAGTAAACAGGGTTGGCACACGTGTCGTCTTCTGATGCTGTAGCCCATCCGCTTCAAGGTTGGACATGTTGTGGCAACAATAGTCTTCTGTATACCTCGGTTGTAACGAGAGGTTATTTGAGTTACTGTTATCTGTCTATCAGCTTGAACCAGTCTGGTCATTCTTTTCTGACCTCTGGCATCAACAAAGCATTTGTGCCCACAGAACTGCTGCTCACAGGATATTTTCTCTGTTTTTGGCCATTCTCTGTAAACCCTAGAGATGGTTGTGTGTGAAAATCCCAAAAAATAGATCAGCAGTTTCTGGAATACTCTGACTAGTCCGTCTGGCATCAACAAACAAGCCACGTTCAAAGTCACTTAAATCAC